ACTCTGACCAGAATCATGTTTAAAGAACAGGGTCGAAGTCCAGGTTCAAGGTTCACCATTTCAAGGCTGTGCAAATAAGCAGGTTGGATGGAACCGATGGAAAAAGCCGGAGGACAACATGACCCGGCTGCAGCTTGTGATAATGTTGATTCTCAGAAATTACATAAGTGGACTTGATTATAAAAGCTTAGAATTACAGTGATGTGACGAGATGCTGCTTGACGATCGAAGGGAAGTATCGGTCCAGCACTCTCCCAGATTTGCAAATCTGTTCGGTGGGTTTTTACATGTAATCTTTAATAAATTCTGTTAACTCTTTAAGGTGTCTCCTCCTAATTCCTCCAAAATCCCAATTGACCCGGGTAAGAACGACCAGGTTCTTAACAGTATAAAGGCCTTAATAAAGAGTTAAGTCCAGAGCTTAGACTTAAAGATTCCCTGGTCGGACATGGAGCGAAGGTCTGGAAGTTTGTCCCAGAGTCGGGGTGCTGGCACTGAAAAGGCCCTGTCAACCCAATGCTTTCGCCTTGTCCTTGGAATGTCTAATAAAGTTTGATTTGATAACCTCAGGGATCTCCCGTACAGTAAAACTTAAAAGTTCAGATAAATAAATTGGGGCAATGCTATTATGAGCTTTGAAAACAAGCCAAATTGATGAAGATAAAAATGGGATATGTTCATGTCTAGAAGTGTTGGTTAAAAGATGAGCAGCGGGGTTTTGGATGAGATGAAGTGGTCTTAGGGAAGACTGAAGGACACCAATATAAAGTCCATTACAATAATCAAATCTAGAACTAACCAACATGTGAATAATGTAGGGGTTTTGGGTATATTCTAAAATGGATAATTTGTGAATCATTTAAATACGCAAATTATCTTACCTCGAGGCACCACGCTTTTAATTTGGTCAAGAATTAACCCAGGAAAGAGATGAAAACCTGTAACTTTATTGCAATCAGTCTCACAATAAATGTACCCAAAATGGTTTGATGAGTCCTTGTCTTATCAGAACCAATAATACTTTATCAAGACACAAAAATGAGATTAGCTTATGTTGGCACGTTCACGGGCCATTTATTTACAGATTAAATGTATTTACAACTATGACGAGTAAGGAATGATGACATAATTGAACCATGTAAAAACTGAAAGAGTTTGCAATCACAAGTGAATAAACAAACAAACAAATAAATAAAATAAACACTGAGAGGTGAGTATGAGGTTTGGAGTGATGAGAGGTGAGTTTTGCTTTTAGCTTAGAATTTAACTTAGGGGGTCCTGGTTAAATTAGGGAGAAAATTAATTAGTTTACTAAATCTCATACAAAGATAAGAATCAAATTACGTCTGAGCACCTGTTTGTCACCAGGACAAATGTTCACTTTTACCCTTTTGTTCCTCCGTGAGGGTACCAGGAGGGGAAATCAGCGATTGAAGGTCATCTCTGAGGGTCGTTTCCCAGATAGACTCTTCATGCAAGCTGGATGTCAGGCGGTCTGCCTGTAAAACTCAACTGGTCCAGTGGTCAGAGAAGGGGGTCACTCACTGGTGACAACGTGGTCCGGTCCTCCCAAGGCGGCTGCAAGACTTCTTAATTTGATTTCAACTTTGTAGAGAAAATGAACTAAAAACGACGCATGAATTACAATAAGCTTATTTAACTTCTATAAAATCAAACTCAGATGTTGAGTCGATATTAAACATTGGCTGTTCGTTCAACCCAGCGGGAGACGCAGATGGGCCACCATCCTGCCCAGCCCATGGGGAGGGGCTGGCAGGCAGGGCCTCTGCTGAGCTTCTGGAAAGCTGTTTCTGGCTTCTGATGTTAAAAAACTCTCTTTCGCTGTCGGTCTTCTTATGCTACTTCTTCTAAGAGATTGGGAGTACGCTAAGCTTTTTAAAACCTCTGTTATGGGCGGAGTCAAGGTTTTAGTTGGCCAATAAAAATGTTACACCTTATACAGGAAAAGTTTTTTAACAAATCAAATCTATTTTGGAGGGAAAACTTTACTTCAGGACAAAGAAAAAGGGAGTGTTTTAGTTTAATTATCTTGCATCTAATTAAAGGGAGAGATATCTGCTTGCCTC